TTACCTTTGTCGACTATGAAAAAGCTTTTGACAGCGTCGAAACGAGTGCGGTCCTGTCAGCACTGGTCGATCAAGGAGAGAGCCCTTCCTACATTAGAACACTAGCTTATTGAAGCAGTCGCTGCAGCGCAACGGTGAAGCTGTTTCAACGACCTCTCCCCATTCCCATAGGGAAGGGTGGTGGGTTATAAAGTAGAGCGACCTTCGGCCTTCGGACGTCTGAAAGAGGCCACCAACCATCTGGCTGACCCGGATCGTCGCGCTAATCTGTTCGATTTCGCAGTTCTTCCTGCGCTCTGTTACGGGTCGGAGACTTGGGTGGCCAGTGCATCCACGTCAAGGGCTCTGAACACAAGCCAACGAGCGCTCGAGCGATGTCTTTTGAAGTTCAACCGACTCCCGCAATATCGAGCCGGACTCCGCAGCTCCGATATGCGCAGAATGTCTCGACTGCGCGATTCGGTGGAATACATGAAGAACGCAAAATTTCGGTGGACCGGTCATATAATGAGAAGAGATGACGACAGATGGACAAGAAGAACAGTCGAGTGGGCTCCCATAGGTTCTTCACGATCTCAGGGTAGGCCTGAGATCGTGAAGAACCTATGGGAGGGGGGATGTGCTGTCGATCACGTGAAACAGCTGCGACAGCAGCTGAACGACTCCTCACATCGCCATCTTCGTCGAATCCTGAGTCTACCGTGGATGGCGATCGCGAAAGACAAAAGCGAATGGTTGTTTGCTGATGCTCGCACATAAGTGAAGACCAGCCGTATAAGTATAAGTAAGTATCCAATCATATGAACTTTTTGAATATAATGTTTACATCATATTAAGACGATTGTTTAGGTCAAATGGCTCCATGCAGCTGTTATTACTGTAACTAAAGAATCTTTGATCCGTTATGCGTGTACCTGTGCAGCTGCAAAGGGCTGTCAACAGCCACTTTGCCAGACATGTCTCCTGTCCTCAATGATCTTAGAAAAAAAAACAAGAAACTAATAGTTTATTTGAAGCACCTTCCTAATAATGGAGGAAACTGCTATGATCTTTCAGTTGAAAAAGTATTCTTGAAAGTGCGACTTGATGACGTCGGCTGTACATTGACGTTCCGAGCGAACTGGTTATTCTTATTGAGTCTGAGCTTTTCCAAAATATAATTCCTATAAGGCAGCACGTAGTACATCGTTACGCATGGATCGACAACGACAATCATCGGTGACACGAAAAATACCAGATACTCAGCAGTCAACGATTCAAATGATCCGAATTGCATCAGAAAATATACAGTCTTGGTGGGAAACGAGAAAAATATTGGCATACACGACTGAATCACAAGTGCCTGAAAGTAGAGTAGGCTAGGCTTTCTCCTAACCTTTTGTGTGAACGATTAACGAATGGTGAGAAAAAGGCTCCAGTATAAATCGATGTTACTGGACAAGCGTTTCTAGGCACTTTGTAACATGACCTTCTCTTGAAAGCGCAATTTTCGAAACTATTTTTGAAACGAAACTTCCGCCCCAAGCTGCGTTTTCAGGCTAGCTCTCTCCTGAACAAGCAAACACGCAAACGCGGATGGCCATCTCTCGAGCGGCTTTTTCGTCAAAGAAATCTCAATCGGGTGCTACCTTTACATTGCAGGCCGGCTGGAGAAAACTGGGAATCAAAACTAACCTTTATCATCATGTTGAATGTTCTAGTAGTGTTTCGGGACATGTTTGAGTGAACTGACAGCACATACCGCCTGATCTAAATTTTACAAAACCGCGTCGCACTTTCAGAAGTTTCCATAAACGAAGTACTTGATCTAAGCCGACTCTTTTATGGTTTCGACGGGCCCTTGTCGAAAATCGGCTAGGCTGTCGAGGAGGGTCCGATGTCTAAGCGATTTTTGTGCAGGTACGTAAATGAGGAATAATTTAATGAGGGACACTCTCTATAGAATGGGTTGGGCCCAGCAAGTTCTAGGGACGACTAGCAATTCGGAAGCCAGTTTGACACACATAGTTACTTGC